GGCGGTGCGTTGTGTCACTAGACCGCTGAGCAGAGAATCATTGTAGCAGGAGGCGAGCTCACCGGGAACGATGACAAGCATGGCTTCTGCATTTGATTGCGGAGGCCCTGCACAGCCATGCTACATAACCTCGGCGAATTAGAGAATAAAGAAACGTGCAAGAGGTGCTGTGTATGCCACGCCATTTGCATCATGGCAGCTGCACAAATGTCCATGCATTTGCTTTTTGAGTGCCTCAGTAGCAACGAGTTGCAGCGTTGTACTCTTTTCGTTGGTGTGTTGGCTGCGGCAACTGCTGGTGATTTCGATTCCAGGGTTAGGTTGGGAGCTTGCAGGAGTGTGAGGCTTGCGCGTCGAGTGAAACACGGAATGCAATTGCTCTGGCAGCAGTGTTTGGAAGGCGACACAGCTTGTGCGTTGCGTGCTGACCGGACACAAGAGTAGCGAGAACCCCGCTTAGTGCTGGAGAGGCTCTGCAGAGTATAAGCTGTTTTCCTGTCTTGCACGGATGCTCAGGGGGAGGGGTAACAATGGCCTCGTATAGAACGCTTGGGCGTGTAGTGAGTGGCAGCGCGCGTGACAGATTAAGGTTTGACAGTCCCTTGAAGCGAGTGGAGGGACATTTGCCAGTTAGGAGCTGTTAGGGTCGCGCGCGGTCAGCTCCACCGCCAGTGTGCAGAGCCGGGCGCATGGCACTCGGCTCAAAGGGGAGTGTTTCAAGGGATTGGCTGCCGACGTTGGTGAGTCGGAGGAAGACGTGGAAGGCGTTGAGTGCTGTGCTGCGTTGTGTGCTGTGTTTCACAGTTGGGTGCGTGCAGGTGCGAGGTGGTTCTTGAGTTCGTTGGGGAGCGCGCCACCATCATAAGGAATGTCAGGGAGCTAAAGGTAAACATGTGTGAAAATATGGGTTTGTAGTCAATCCAGAATCGCAATACCGTTTCGCGCATGGCGTTGAACACACTCATTTTTAGGAGTATGGCCGACGCGCCGACGTTATATGGGCTTCGGATGCACGCATGAAGGATTGCAAGGGAACAGCATGCATGGGAGATAGTAGACGCTTATGCAGGAGTTGTGTAGGTCGACCGCTGTGTGATTTTGTGTATGACCAGATATCTAGTGATGCGTTTGAGCAAGCGATGCGCGCGTGTGCGTGCGCGGTAGTGGAGGCTGAGCACTGCTCGTTGGTTCATGCTACGCTGCGTAGCGTTCAGCGTACATTGCCACACAGAAGGTGCGCATAAATGCAAGATGCGGCGCTGGTGCGTGAAAAGTGCTGCAGTGGATTTGGCAACTGTAGCGTTGTGTATTGACTGGGGGATGCGGGGCAGGTAGGTGGGGGTAGTATAGTGTGAAGTGTGTGGGAAGAACCGGAGGGTTTTTGAGTATGGGTTTTGTTTAGGAAGGAGCCGAAGTG